TGATCGCAGTCGGCACTCCCGGGCCCCTCAACAGCAAGCGCCAGATCGCAGTGGGCACTACCGGGCCCCAACTGCAAGTTCCAGATCGCAGTGGGCACTACCGGGCCCCAACAGCAAGCGCCAGATCGCAGTGGGCACTGCCGGACCTCAACAGCAAGCGCCAGATCGCAGTGGGCACTAATTCCTCCGGACCTCATACAGCAAGCGCCAGAACGCAGTGGGCAGCATATCGGACCTCAAGCGTCAGCTCCCGATCACGCAACGGCAAGCGCCAGATCGCAGCCAGATCGCCGTGGGCACTGAGCCGCCTCAACCGCCAGCTCCCGATCACAGTGGCCACTACTGTTTTGGACGCCAAAAACGCACATTTGCTTGGGCGCCAGGTTTTGAGCCCAAAGCTGTCACATCCTATTTTTTCGAGGGCTCGTCTGGCATTGCGTTTGTATCTCAAGGGGGGCTTCTGGGGTGTGGGCAAGATGCTGGCATGCGGGTTGTCTTGCGCACACATATGCATGAATATCTAGCAACAAACCAAAGCTCAACTCAACCTTGAACCAAGGGTTTTGTGATCGGCCTGTGCATTGCCAGCGTCCAATTCTGGAATGTTTTAATTATATATCCAACCATGGAGGCGAATACTGCTTGACAAACAATTTGCATTTTTCCTCAGCAACAAAAGCCTTTACCTTTGATTCCGGGCGCCAAAGTGAACTGGGGCGCCAAAAGTATCATTTATGTATGTGCCCTCAAAATTTTTGAAAAACATACCTAAGCGAAGTCTACTTCCTAGTTTTCGTTTTCACTGCTGAAAAACATCACTGATTTTTTTTGGTATGGATAGTATCATTCATGCATGTGCCCTCAAAGTTGTTTGATGCATACCTAGATCGTTCCATTACAAACCCTTTCTGCAAGTTGTTTGATAATGTTGGCGGATGTTTGCACTGAGTAATGTCATCATTCTGTTTGTGATGGATTTCACTTTCACTCTAATCCAACACAAATCACTGGTTCCGACCAGGGCTTTACCCAGTGATTTATGATTGTTGGTCATCACAAAATCAAGGTTCATTCACTTGGTTATTTGTGACGGGTTTAGTTTGTGCTGGATCTGAGTCAGATCCATCACGAATCACTTGCTCCGTCCAGGGCCTGTACAAACCATTGATTTATGATGGACTTGAGTGTTGGGCATCACAAATTTAAGGTTTTACTGACCCATTGATTTGTGATGGATCTGAGTCAGATCCATCACAAAACACTACCTCCGTCCTAAGGGTCACTAAACTTTACTGTAATTGTTACTTTGTCCCGGTTGCTCTGGGAAGTAGTGATTTGCAATCAAATTGCAGTAAGGAGTTGTAATGGAACCATCTAGGTATGCATTAACAAAAACTTTGAGGGCACATACATGAATGATGCGCTTCATATAATAATTGGTAATGTTTTTCAGTGATGCTTTTTAGTTTTCACCAGTCAAGGCAAAATGGGAAACAGACTTCATCACGGTATGCATCAAAAAGACTTTGAGGGCACATGCATGAATGATACTTGGCGCCCCAGTTCACTTTCGCTCCCCGAAGCAAAGGTAAACAGCTTAACAGTTAAACAGCATCCACAAACAAATGTTTTTCGTTGACGGAGGACTGGATGGCCCGTTCGGATCCGATGATATGAATTGTCCGACCCCGGTGTGTTCGACAGTGGGGTTTGGAAGTCTGAGGGTTCTATGTCGGGAGACACTTTTAATTATTGTCATCTTTGGGATTCTGTTGTTTGTGTTGTGTGTGGCCGATTTTTTTCAGAATATGCATGTCACCATAGCATCGTGTCCAAAAGCCGGGCCCCTTGCACACTCAAGATATGACAAGGTGGTTTGTACATGCTTGACATGTGCCCGGTTCCACACACGGGGGGGGGGTGCGGACCTGAAGTGAATCAGGCTGCCAAGTCGTCCAAGGTTTTTCGAAGGTGAAACGGACCGGGGCTGAAAGGACCATCCAACATCCACACTTGGACACTCATATGCCATATTCAAACTCCGCCCGGACCAGCGTCTTTCGGCACCGCGGAACCAGGGGGGCGAACACGAGAGCGCGTCGACCGGTCCGGATGCGGCGGAGCGTCGAGAGCGCGGTGCGGCTGGTCCCCCGAGGTTGAGAGCGTCCTTCTTTTCGAGCCGCCGATCGGCGACCAGGACCGGACACGTTCATGTTTGGTGCGAGGGGAGCGACGAAGGATGACGAAGGTGTGCAGAAGCAACAGTGCTGACAATGGGATTTTGGTTGAGTTTGTTGGCGATATCTATCGCATACGTGAATCAAGATCATGTTTGACACTATAGAGACAGCATGCAGCATGTGATGTGCATCTAACCTTTTGTGTTTGGCAATGCGTGCCGATGTTTGTGCTTGATTTGTTCAACAAGTATCCCCGTTCCGATTTCCTGTATGAAATGGGGTGTCTCAAGTCCACTACGTTGAGGTTATTAATATGTTGCAAAAAAAAGAGGTTGAGGCACCTCTTTTTGTAGAGATGAGGATTTTGTAGCGCAAGACCTTGATGCTGAGATATAGAGGATGGGTCCCTGCAGTTTTGTAGTGCAGATTTGTCATTTCAAGATGATTATATCCGATGTTGGGTACGTCCATAATGTAGGGCAAATTGATGCAGCCATTTTGGTTTCATACCATTTTGTAGTCAAACACATTGACAACATAGAGGTTGGGTCCCACCACTTTTGTAGTGCAGATTTCCTGTTTCTTATATGATACTATTGGGTCCAAGGATTTTGTAGAGAAGCAGGGTTGGGTCCTTGCAAAATATTAGTACATGTAAATTTGTGATGTTGGGTCCCCAGTTCTGTTGTACTACAGAATGGGGGCCCCGACCCCACCACCCTAATTGGCAGGGGGATCAACAAGTCACATTCACTATATAGAATCCAGCGAAAATCGGATCTGGACCCCAGACGCAGAATATACGCAACTTACACCATGTTTTGCCATATTCATCCCTATACATGTATGTGTTTTTGTCCTGATGTTTGCCCGTTTTCCACCAGACAGAATCAGACAGACAGCGCAATCCTTTGTTATGTTTGTTACTCTTAATCATATATGTATAAGACGTTTGAAGTCACATGAAGTCACCATGTTGTAACCTCGTGCATACTATATACATCTATATACCAAAGTCATTTGGATACCCTCGACAGAAGGTTCAGGTTCATGTGTTCGATGCAACACATGACATCATGTGGTGAACTTTGTGTTCAGGTTTCACATCTTTCAAAGCGTTGTTTCACACGTCAGGGGTCTCCCCTGACGTGTCCGAACCCACCTACAACATCCTACAACGACCCACCTCGCTGACCCACCTCGTCGACTCGGCAGGGATGAGACCAAAAGCGACTCGAGTTCTTCACCGCGAAGCTCCAATGTGAGGTGAATGCAGGACCCGCATGAAAGCACCAGACCGGAAAACCCGAGGTCGACCACACCGTACACAATTATACATCCATCTTATCATACAATTACTACAGATCGTCCATTGGTTCCAACGCTGGGTACATCATACATCTCACACCTCATCTCTTGAAAGCATTGAACCGACGTCACGGACGTCACACGATTTCTCCGACAGCCCCGGACGGTGCTTGGCGGGTCCTGCCATTTGCTGCGCCCTTCCTGTGGCTTTCTCTTTCCTTGCCGCGGGGCGTCGGCCACCCGCCGCGACTGGGGAAGTTGGCCAACGTGTTGGCCGGACTTTGACGACCTGCGTTCCTGGTGTCATTGTGGCCCATTGTGGCAAGTTTGCTGTGTGCAGTTTGTGTCTCCATTGCATTGGATGGGTAGAATATCACACTGGTTCTTCATGTTTGGAAGATGCCCAAAGGATTGGAAACCCAGGCAAAAACCTCTACTGTATTGGATCCCGAACTTCATTTGTTGCCGGAGTCGGTTTCCAGGCCGTTCGGTGTTGAAATGGGGCACGGTGGGAAGCGACCGTTTCCGCCATTGGCTGCTTGTTCGCTGAGCTTGTTCGATGAAGGGTGGGGGAAGGGGGGATTCTTCAACACACGGAACCACGTGTTGTTCATATGGAGCTTGTTTGTTGTTCATGGAGCTTGTGACAACCGTATTTGCTTACAATTCTTGGGGTGTGGCTACGGACTGATTTTGGTTGTCGTTTCGGTTGGCCAGACCTTGGTAGTTTATCATCTTGAAACAAACAAGAAAACAGCAACAAAAAAACAATCACAAAATGCAACCAGAAAAACCAAAGCAAGCATAAAAGCAAAAAAACAATCAACATTGCAAGCAAAAATGGAACAACTCAGCCGGGCTTTCTGGCACACTTTTTGGAAGCGTCCACGTTCTGGCGTGCATTCTGACGCGCTTTTGGGGGAGGGTCGACTTTCTGGCGCACTTTTGGGGGAGGGTCCACTTTCTGGTGCACTTTTGGTCGCTTTTTGTTCCCTTCTTTCTCCGGGGCCGGGTGAAAAGTCGCACTTTTGGTTGATTTCTAGAATAAAGCCACCTTTGGTGGACATAACAATAAAGATATATATAAGTAGATAGAGCATGATAAAGTCATAAAGTGTCATAAAGACAGACATACGCGATGAAAGAAGGCAACTTGATTCACAGCTGTCCGGCCTTTTTTGTGTGAGCTATCGCCATCTCTTTATATATTTGTTGTTGTTGTGGTTCTCTCTGCTGCGACAGGAGTAGATGGCACCGAAAGAGAAACATCTGCAGCGCAGTATGCATGCCCATGTTTTTAACAAACAATCCAGAATGTTTATATAACTTCGGTGGGGTCAATGGGACTCGAGCCACAAGGGATCCGAAAGCATGTCGACGGCCACGAAAAAGCATTCCCTTCGCTGCGTCGACACTGGAACGCAGCGCAAAGAGCCGTGAAATCGCTTTAAGCCACAAATTTGTGTTACGCCACCACGTCTGGACGTGTTTGGCAAGCAGTTCCAAATAGTTCCATCCATGAGGGGCAACGTCGGAACTCCGTCCAGTTTTCTCCAACCATGAGGGGCAGCGTCGGAACTCCGTCGAAGAGATGAGACGCTGGCAAGGGACCTGCGTTTTCGCGCAGGGCAGCGTGAAAGTCCATGGTTGGAAGCGATGTGAACAAGAAAGTTCAGACACAACCGCCCGGGTTCTGAAGCTTGGGCCCCGAAACTGTCCGAACCCAACGTTTTAGTTTAACGTTGACCGTTTTGATAATATGTCAATGTGAGTTTGTTGTAGGTTTCTGAATGAGGGTCTTGGATCTCACAAGCCTTAGAGAAGATTATTGAAGAAGCTAAGCTTTTCAAGAATGTTGAACCAAAAGATGACCTTTCATGTTTGGGCGCCCGTTATGCATGCAGTTGAGGTTGGTTCCACTTAGTGAAGTTGGCGGAAAGCAAATGCCATCCAAAATGAAACCACAATCTTGGGATCCCAGTCATGCAAGTTGGTGAGCATATCGGCATATCGTTGCATTTTTCTCGTGGGAGGCCATCGCTCTTAGGTTGGAGGGTCATCATGCTTAGTGTACAAGGAATGCATCTGAACGGAGTTCGCGGAGGCCTCGACTTTCTGCAACAGGTCGGGTGGTCCGGTGGTCCATGACTGAGTGTTTGACTCATTTGCGATACCTTCTTTTTCATTGAGAGGGCTATTGATCATTCCTGTCCAGGGTGCTGGAGTCGCCTGTGGATCACTTGTTGATCGAGAGTGAGTCTCAAAGGCCTGAAACGAGGAGCACTTCTGAGCTCAGGCTTCGGGAGTTCTTTTTGCTAGCCCATGGAACTTCCTGAGATGGATTGTTGTTCAATGTTTTTCAACTAGCAATCTTCCTTCCGTGTTTCCAGTCCCAGGAAGTTCTGATTTCCTTATGGCCCTTTGACCTTTGAGTTGGTGTAGCTGCATTGTAGCTCGGTGTGCTGATCTGGGATCATCAAGGATTTAAATCTTTTGCAAGACTGGTGCTGCCTTCTTCATTTATTTTATATTAATTAATATTGATCGCTGGATAATTGATCGCTGGATACCACCGGTCTATTCTCCATAACAAAGACTTTGGAGCAGATTGGAGCAGGTCCCGGACCAGGTTCCGGAGAGGTTCCAGAGCAGCAGTTCCCAAACAGGTTCCGGAGAAGGTTTTCGGAGCAAGTTCCAGAGCAGGTTGCGGAGCAGGTTGTGAAAGAGGCCACAGAACTGTCGTGGTGGTGTGACATGTCACCGTTGGCATGTTGTCAAACTGACATGTTGTGAAAGGGTCAGGCTACCTTGCTTGTGCGTGAGCTGTCGATCATGTCGACATTCTACCATGTTGTCACTTTGCTATGCTACCTGGCATGCACGCTGTCATGCTGACAAGCGGTGGTTGCTGACATGCCAACATGCTGTCACGCTGAGATGCGAATTTGTAGCCAGGCCGATACACTGACATTGTGTAGTGTTGGCGTGTTGATGTGTGTTGTATGTATTGTTTCCATGCAGGCGTGTGTGTTGTCACCCTGGTGTGCTGGCATGGTGTCACGCCGGCATGTTGCCACACTCTCATGCCAACATGTTGCCACGGTGTCACCTAGGTTCCAGAACAGCTTCAGGAGCAGGTTCCCTTTTTTTGTTTGTTGCGGCATTGTCAGGTTTACACATACGTGGGCACACGCCTGTTTCAACGCAGCATTACGAAAGCCAGCCTTCGTAGAAGGCGCTAGCGGAGTTGTGTCTGGCGAACGAAGTGAGTAGTTAGGGGGTCTGGGGGGGTCGCCCGAGAAAGGTACACGTCAACTCGGCACATGCTGGGGGAGGAGGGTGCTTCGAGGGAAGGTTTTTTGAGGTTGTGTTGGAGGTGATTTTTGAGGGGTGGTGATGCAAGAAATGCCAAAAGCATCATTTGCATCATCTGAATGGAAAGGTGTAGTTGGCACCTTGCAAGGTATAGAGACCTAGAGCAAATAAGCACTTATCAGTAGCCACAGTACAGGTTGCGGAGAGGTCCCGAAGCAGGTTCGGTTCTGGAGCAGGTGGCAGGTTCCGGAACAAGTTGCGTGGCAATTTTGTGGATATGCGGATGTGCTGCTGAGGCTGACGTGTCATCATTCTAACATGACAGCATGTCGTGTCGTCATGCCGTGTAGCTACGGACTGTTGCGGGTCGTTGTCCGGCTGTCATGCGCTAACTTGCAATACGCTGACATGCTGATGTGCTGTATCCGCTCACGTGACTTGTTATCACGCTGACAGGGCTTTCATGCCCAGCTGTTGTAGATTTCTTGTTTCTGCATTTTGCGCATGGAATTTCCTTCCCTTCCAGCTGGAACACCAAAATAGATCCTGGGATCACTGTCAGCACAAAGGCGCATTGGGTCGAAAGTGCCTGGGGCAGCCTCAGGTTTTGAATACTGAAATTCAAATTGCTACAGGAATGCTTTGTCCAACACTAGCTAGGATCGTTGAAGACCTGGTACCAGGTTGGGCGAAAGGCCTCTATTCATGCTGATGAGTGTGCCAGCAGTCGATGCAATAGTCCTTCTATATAATGATTGTGTTTGCCTGGTTTGTTTGCCAGAAAATTGAGTAAGGTGTGTGAAGCTTTGAACAGCCAGGTGTGTTTGAAAATTGCGAGTGCCCCCAACAAAAATAATACACAATCATAACTTCTATTATTCATTCAGTTTTGGATTGCTTGAAGTTGATTATATTTATTTGGCAGTGAATCATTTGTGCAATTTCCTACATGCAATTGTAGGAGGGGGGAGGGTTTACGTTTCCCGAGCAAAGTCACACCTGAGAGTCTGAGAGTATGAAGTGTGGCGTTTTGGGTGATTTTGCATTTGGAACTCACCCGCAGAGATGTTCCACTATTTCTAAAGCCTGCGGCGTTTGTGGAGAAGCTCACACACCATCGCATGTGTTTTGAGCCGGTTTGGGGTCAACGGTTTCATTTGGTTCGTCCCGCGGCCCGCGGCATGTTTTGTGCCATGTGTTTCGTGGAACCCCTATCAGATCACCATACAAAGCCTTACAACCGAAATGAATTGCAGGCAAGTCCTGGGGTTCCGTTGCTTCAACGTTTGCCGCTGTTTCTGACCGAAAACAGCCAATAGTCCAAAGTCTTCCCCCTAAACCCTAAGTCTTCGCTGGCCAGGGAGGCGGGAAGACACAAAGGCGCTCCCGCAACCAAAGGCACCGCAGAAAAAAACAACAGGACGCATGTTTATGAGTCACTGAGGACTTGGATCGTACTCATACCTGTTGGAGCCATGAAAATCTGGCTTCAAACGAGGGGCCATCAACCCACTGGACGTGTGCAGCATTTTCACCGATCCCCTGCTTTCAACCCATTCACATTCAAGCAATTCATTGGTTTGCATACGCCAACCCGTTCGTCAAGAAAGCAACTCAATTATGTAATTGCCCATTTGGCTAGGGCCTCAAGATTCCAAGATTGGTTTTATTCGGAGAGAATTGCCGCAATGTTGT